CGGTGTGATTGTTAAATTCAACGTGAAAATCAGCTGGTTCACCGCAACATCACATCACAACGGACTGCGAACTGCTACTTTCAAAACTTGACCTATTCACGTGAATTTTCGTTATTCAACTTCACCCCCAGCTTTTCGGTAGCCTTTCGGGATGTTTCCTTCCAGTTGAATAGTGGCTATGCATCGACAGGGTACCACAACTGAGCGTTTGTTTCCGTCCAGTGCGATCTTATTGTTCGAAGATACACAGGAATGAAAGTCCCTCTGCTACTCTATATGGGATATAGGTAAATGACTGGGTCTGCTGCGAGTCTTAGATTACGTATCAGGATGGCGGGATGTATTCCAATGCGGTGTTTTGGCGATCAATTACATTACTGTATCAGGATGGGCTGATTGGCATTGCAATCGACCTTTGTTCCGGAAACAATGTGAAAGACCTGGCCAAGGTATTTCAACGACAAAATCAAATTGTGATGGACTTTGGAGTACACTACACAGCATGGTAGAGTGTTTAACCGGTCAGACTTGAACATACACTGTTCTTTTTTCTAAATTGGTCTACTACTGGGTTAACGAGAGACACAGTAAATTGAACCCGCCGTCGACCATACAGATGGACCCATAGACACGTTATCAGGATGGTCAGCTTCCTGAAAGCAACCACTGAATGCCCGGAACCTACGGAGACTCTCAGCTCCGCTGGGTGTTGACCAGACAGACAACGCCCCCTCAATATGCAGCTCGTCACAGCCTTGCATCAAACCCAGACAGCGCGAGTCAGCGTTGATCAAGGCCAGACAACGCCTCCGCAATATGCAGCATGTCGCTGCCTCGTACCAAAGTCAGACCGCGTGCGTCAACATTGGACCAAGTTCAGACAGTGTCCTTCCAATAAAAAACTTGAGGCCGTTGTACCTTTCGCACTCACACGCACTCGCGCTCTCGCAACCACTTTTTTGGAATATAGCTGTTGTGTTCCCTTCCGTGAGCCTTTTTCTCTCCGACACTAGGCACTGGAGCGGGTCAGCAGCAGATACCACAGGCCGGCGAATCAGCAGATATAACACACGTGTTCGACGAGATTGTCCTTTTTTGGATGAGAAATTCCAAACTAAACTGTCTGACGCGTATTGTGCGTTGCTAGTAGAAATCTGCTGTTAGGTACAAGTTTGGTGGGCTGATAAGGTTTTCCACACTGACCGGATTGAATACCCCCGAATGTCCAGTAATATCGCATACCTACTTTGTTGTATCGACAAGAGCAGTCGCATAATGCACATTTGTTCCCGTTATGTTGATCGCTACGAAGGAGTGTATTTTGTGCCACTCAGAAAGGCTACAATGGACTGACTGTTTTTGGATTACAACAAAACGATCGGGACTATTGAGTGCTGGATGACTATCGGCTGCTCTTTTGTTTTTTGTTTTCTCTTCTTCCTTCTTTGTTAGTCACCTAAGTGAATTACATGGGCATGGAGAAACCGTCATGTGAGACTCCCTTTTCAAAGTTATGACAACGAGGATAAAAGTACAATAAGCGATATCGAGACATTTAAAATAGATGAAGAGCGAGGAGACACACGACACGTAAGGTCAGTAATGTTCATATGGGCAATCGTTCACCCGAGAGTTGAACAACTAAAGTTCGTAGAAAGTGGAAGAAAGAAAAGCGGGAACAACCCACTCAAGCGTAGCCCTTATGGGGACATTGATTGGTAACAAAGTTGCATGTAGAAGTCACGGTTTTCGCCCTGAAATAGACTACGGGAACTGGAAGGACGGGTCGAACGACTGAACGCACTGAGCTGCGAGTATCGAAGAATATTTATAACGATAAACTAGTAAAATAGAAGCCATGTGACGATGATGCGTAGGGAGTTGAAGTCATCAGTCAGTCAAGGTGAGGCAAAGTGGCGCACAACTTTTCGATGAACATGGCCACAAATTAGCTGGTAAGAAGAAGGGCCACGTATCCAGAACTGATGACGGTATTTCGAGGTGGATCGAGTCCGAGATCTGTAATTGTGTAGCAGTTTGGAGAAAAAGAATTTTCGGAGCTGAAGAGGAGCCCTACTTATCAGTTGCTCGAGCCTATGTAAACCGAGAAACGAACAGGTCAGAGTTCGCGAAATAGGATTGGAGTCCATAGCGCGGATGAAGTTAGACGTAAACAGGCAAACAGAGGGAGGCGTTGGGATCCGGAAGAGTTGGATGTGGCGGAATGAGTCGATGCCTATCTCAGAATGCTCACAAGGCGTGTGTTCAGTGTGTTCATTTCGGATTTGCATTTGATGTATACGGCGGATGCGTCGTGGTTAGCAGACTACTGGGTTTCTCCGTCTGAGACCTGAGACGTGGATGTTGAACCTCATTAGGAAGAAAGTTGTAGTCTGATAAGCTGCCAATAGAAGCCACTACAATCGAACTTTTAATTATGACGAACTTGCCAGGTAGTCCATCTGTACTACAACTACTCACAGATAAATTCTTGTGCACCATTCGCTGAAAAATGTATGTGGCGCGTTAACCATCAATATGCATACTTACCTGGGTTACTCATTCCATATGCGACCGTAACACCTATCTATCCAGTTACTTAATTGAGATTCTGCTGTGGACTTATTATACCAGACAACTTTTACTTTTAAACAACGGGCACTTGAACGTACCGAAGCTCTTGAGTCTATCGTTCCAATGCCGCACATTATCCATCCGCTCCGTTTGATCGATCCCCCGAGCAATGGGGTGATACTCGAGCTCGACTGTCTGATTATCCGAATAGTTCAACCACACCCATGGATCGAGCCGAGGAAGCTCGGGTGTCTATATGTCACTTTTCTAAACTCCCGTGCTTTCAAGCTCTAGTTCTTAGGCACTTCTGCACGAGACGTGTAGCCAGCGACTCATTCTCTATAATAGTCTCATGGCTATTCCACTGAGTGAACATTGGCAAATCTCGACAGCAGATCGAATGCTTGCACGCCAAGCTGATGAATACGGCTTTGAAGCCCTATAATGCGGGTGTTCCCACTTTGTTTTACACTTTATCGCCATGGTATCTGACTGCGGCTAGACCTTAAGTGGCAAACTTCTCTTAAGTGACACTGCTGGAAAGCACACAGTTGTCCGAGTCCGAGCGATTGATTAATGGATATAATGAATATGTCTCATTTACAAGTAGTTGTTCGGCATGACAACTTCACACAGGGTTTTCAATCAATTGGATGAATAAAATAGCCGGTCATACGAATCCCCTCTGAAACATGCAGGCATAGAATACCTGTGTATTTCTTTGAATCATACTGACAAGCGGTAACTCGCACAGCTTGTTCAAAACCGACACTATGTGGCTGGCAGTGTGTACCTTCGAAAAATGTGTGCCGAGCTATTCGAACTCTGGTAGTCATTAACTGAGACATCGATAGTGATCATCGGGCCCATGTCGTGATTAAAGCAGTCAGGATACTGGGAGGTAGAAGGAAACAAAGTTCATGTTGTCGGTGAGCGGCATGATGTCCTAAACCAGAGCGGTGCGCATCCGGGTAATTGGTCATATTTTTTTAAAAACATAAATGAATAGACAAACATGTTTTGTTTCAGTGAAGTAGTGTTCGACTCTCTTAGTTCTTGGCAAGCCATACTATCCACCTAAAATGCTTGTGGGTCACCTACCAGCTGTATGCACGTGTAGACTCGTGCGTTGATTAAAAAGGGTGTGGGGCCTTCATGACGCCTTTCATTGAGAGGATACTAGAGTGTTGCTATACCATCATACGCTAGCTTGTTCCTTCGATACTTAAATCATTTATTCTAACCCAGGTTGCTGTTTCGTTGTGCCACCTAGCTGTACATTTCAGTATCCAAGTTGGGCGTACCTGTGTTCTGTTGCGACCCCTACCGTTAGTATTGACTGGGCGTTTGATAAGTAGCTTTTTACTTAACTTTTATGGCGCTCCTCGGTTCGTTTTTCACTTCATACTGTGTACCTCATGTGTTTGCACTAACAGCAAATCAAGATACATCTATCCGAACTACGCACAACCAAGGAGAACCCCCAAACGTCACCTGATACACAGTCCTGTACAAACGGACTTGGCCATGGACCAATTAAACATGAACCAGATATTGTCACCTCCTCGAACAAGCTGTCGACTCCTGAGCCAGTGTTCACTGCTGATGGCATTCCCTCAAGCACTGTGTCGAGCACAGCTTCAACTCTTCAACAGTCGTTTATGAACGATGGCTTTCATTGTCTTGTGACAGATTCAACTGTCAATTGTCCCCAAAGCCAGCTGAAAGGTCTAACGAACGGTGCCGCTGTCCAGGATAAGTATATCGCCTCCGTGACAGAGCGTCTGCTCTGTTCTTTGTGTTGTCTTCTCGAGAATTGTCTCTTCTACCTGGTAGACTGGATGGGACAAACAGAGCTGTTTAAAATGATACCTGTGAGTTCCCCGTGTGTGTCATTTGACTTACTGCTATTTTTCACGGTGTCGTCCATCAGGGTTAGTAAGGGCACTGCGCAGTCATGACGTTCGTACGTCATACTTATTCTCTCTTCCTTGCAACTGCTGTTTCCTGAAGATGTCGGTCGTCTAACGTTGGTTACCGCAAAATTAAATGTTCTGAACTACCGGTTTCAAAGCTTTTTCTAAATTCTTGAGACTGACGTTTGCTACCGTTGCTTCCTGAGCTGATGTCCCCCATGATATACCCTGAGATGCACCGCCACTTTTGTAATGCATTGATCAGGATAGAGTTGGTGTTACTTCTTTTCACTATCTGTAATGTGGGGACCATCAGTAAAGCCTATAACACTCGACTTTTGGTACATTATTAAGACTCTAGTGGCCTTGATGCTCGGGTTGGAGCTCAATAGGTATTCCCTTATCCTCCGACCTGCCCAGCTCACTATCAGCTGGATATTATTAAGTGCTCAGCTGATGTGGAGGCGTGCAACTGCTGGTGAATACTAGGATGATGGATACACCCAACTCCGGATGTTTCAGACCGCTCTCAATCTGGTACTTCTTTGTGAATACAAGATATGGCAGGTCTATGCGGGAACTAACAGTGTGTAAACGCTGGCTGTTAACTGTCATAGGTAAAACACTATTAATGATCCCCCTTCCCGAAGGGGCAAGATGGACCAAGTGGCTAGAGCACGAATTTACTGACCAGAAGGTCCGTGGTTCGAAACTAACCTCTGCCTCTCGACTTCCCCTGTCTAGGCTTGGGCAACCCGGCAGTATCCCAGCCCTCGTGCCTCCTTCGTGTGGCAAGGCAGCTAGGCACCGAAAGGATGCCACTGCTGAGTGATTTATTTTTTTCAAATGAGCCTTGCGTTTCTTCTGTTGAGCAGTGTAGTCTGTGGCACCGGGATGGAAATGGAAGCTCACGCTATCCTGAACGATAAATACAGCTAGCTTTTCGGATGCTTCATTCGTGCAATATTGTCTTGAGAACATCCAGTTTATCTTTACGAGAGGATGCAGCAGTGCAGAGTCCACGTAAATTACTCGACAAATAGCGTAGGCGAAGATGAATCTCAGCGTCATTTCAATCGGCGTATTTCTCATGTCTCTTTGATCGTGTACTGTTGTTTGCACAACTACATAAGATCGTTGTGTTTTACGCCCCACTGATCTGACCGTTGCAGTTTTTATCATTGTTTTTTTGTTTTTTTTCAGGTTGGGGACAAGATTCAACTATTGAATAGCAGTTGGAGCGAGATAATCTTGTTAGAGTATCTGCATTGTTATCTAACTCATTGTCAGGACAACAGATCCACCAATCCCATCGCCCACCACACATCGGTACGTCTATAAACGTCGACCTAATTCGCAATTGACCTCGTTTCCACCGTGCTTTTCCCTAAGGTGGATGTGATATTTACGTTTAGAGTAGTAGCCACCGACCCACGTTGTCATAGCAGCGTGTCCTGGAACTTCCTGTTCACTACGACCAGAGTAACTTACGCGAATCGTTTCCACTTATCGTTCCCACATTGTTTGACTGTGGAATTCCGGTGTTTCGGCTTAATTCTGCTTCTTTTTGTGTCGGTTCAAATGAATCGTTGCTGGGATAGCCTTCTTCATCGGAGATTTCCTCGTGTAGTAATAAGCACTCATGTCTTCACGCTGCTATTTTGGTCACAAATTTCCTACGTGACCCGACTCAAGGTGCTCGTAAGTTTTTAAAAAAATTCATTTCGACAGCTGGCTCAGTGCCAGGTCACCGGTGTATCAACAACAACAACTCCCATTTGGTAGCCGCACGCGTAGTTCGCATCCTGTCCAGCATGGTTCCGACAGCTGGGTGCCAGGTCACCGGTGTATCAACAACAACAACTCCCATTTGGTAGCCGCACGCGTAGTTCGCATCCTGTCCAGCATGGTTCGTCCTTGCCCGAGCTTACACACCAGCCAGACGCATAGCGGGAATCAGATAGTCCGGTCATCGTCACTTTGGGAGCGATGCAGTGGGTACACACGACACTTTCGGCGACAACCTTATCATTCTCCTCATGCACACATACACGCACAAACCGTCCGTTATTCAGACTAGACGTGCCCGATAACCCGAGTCAACAAACAGCTTTATTTCCAGGACTAGCTTTTGTGTGCACACGCATCCACATCCAAATCCTGTCCTGTCCTGTTGACATGTTGCACGCATCTTTCGAACACCCACAAATCCAGTTACAGCAGGGGTTTTTAAACTTTTTGAATCGCAAACCTATCTACCATTTCGAAATATCTCCACAGACCGGATTAGCTAATCAACCGGGCTATGCGATAAATTTCAGTACTTCGTTGACTTCGTCACATTACCATCGACTCCGAATGAGCAAGTCCGATCTTCCTGATCTTCGAACTAGCTAGGAAAATCGCTCCTAGTGTCTGTCACCTGCTATTCCGTTCTTAATAGGCAGGAACTACCTGTCATTATCATATGAACGATTAATTTATTGGACGGGCACTGGACTACAACACACTGCAGCATCCACCACCGAAAATGGTCGTTTCTTACCAGTCGCGTCGACGAGGTCAATTTAACTTCCAGAGCTGCGTACAAATTAGTCACTAACGCATCCATACTACACTCGTACATTTTTAAATGAGCACAGTAGTGTCCCTACCTATGTCATTTGGAAGTTTATGAAATCGTAGAAGGCTTTCGTCGAAGTCTATCAACCAAACTGAAGTGTGATAATACGTCCGCAATATGCTCGATGTAGCAGCGGATTCATCAAGTGCTGGAGAACAAATGGCGAATGCGATTGTCATTCATGTCATTGTTTCAAATCGTTAACTTTCTCAGCGCAAAGCACAGCGGGGTGAGACAACAAAATGGAATAAGTGGCTTAAAGCTGTGTAACGTGAGTCGCCCATCATGCAGTTAACATGGGGCTGTGACACGCGCAACCACAATTAGTGGGGAATCTAAACCGTCCAAGCAATCTGCCTAGCTCATCGGTGAGCCGGTCGTTCATCCAGACTGCCTGTTCTAGCATATTCTTCGTATTTTACAAGATTCGTCCTCTCTGCCCTCGAAGCATGTTAAGCAACGGGTTTTATATTTTACGAAAAAGAAAACCGCTTGGTCTTGGCCTTGATATCAAGGAACACCGGGTCGAACTGGACCACCTTGCAGAAGCTTGCAAGCCCCATCCTTCTTCAATCTTAATATGCTACTGATTCTACACACGGTCGATGGGGCGTCTGTGTACTCTGCTCTAACGCTTCATGTATGCGCATACGTCTGTTATATGGCGTGAACTTCCGGTTTTCATTATTCGGTTTGTCCATGCTTCATCAGATACTCTTTAGTGGAGCGTATCGTATTTCACGTGGTCCTACTCTCAGACTGGGAAGAGTGTCAGCCAACTTTGTCGTTCCGAATGACATCAAACTGAAATAATTTCTTTGTAAAACGCCGGAAACAACGATGATCGTATTACAAACAGTTGTTTTGTGTCCGATTTCTGAAACGCGCACTTATTAGCAGGACGAGGACCGGCAGCCAACTTGAAGACACTTAGGAGACTGTCGTAACAGGATTCCAGTTCCCAATGTCAAAAGTATACGCGCCTTTGTGTTGCATCCCACACGTATCGTAGAAACACCGGATGTACGACAATGAAATGTGTTAGGCTGTTTTCAGAAACCGGTCACTTGTTGTCCAGGTGGCGATGTGATATGGACAAACTAATCACGTTGGTTTGGCCATCCCATTCGTGTTCCAGATAACCGATTGTCCCATCGTGTCTTGTTTGGTATGGTTCGGCACGACTGATAGTAACCGCGAAACTGACATAGGGCAGCCCAGTAGTGAAACACTAAAAGCGTAACGAGTCTTAGTCACTTTGGCGTTTGTGCTGTGTGCGGTTGAGCTTTTAGAAACCCATTCTACCACAGTATCAGGTACATTTGCTAGTAGCGTCGGTGCTTCCATCAGTTTATCCCTAACGTTTACTGTCATTTGCTTCGTTTTTCTTATCTTACGGACGTCAGCTAATTCACTCCTTCATATTTTACTGCTGTCGTTTAAATACTGTCATGACCGGAACCAACGTATAGATGCTCACCGTTCCCGGTTGAAAAACCGATTTGAACGGAACGAGTAAATCCATCGTCCTTCAGATCAGTTTGCCATTACTAGTGAATTTACACTACAATACCCAGAGCTATCACCCGCATCTTGTTACAGCATCTCCCAGTAATCTCATGATTACTGCAGTAGCTATCTGTTTGGACAGGTTGTAATTCCTGTTACAGTTCCTCAGTACGTCTGATGCGAACTAGCAGAACGTCTTGACACAGGAAACGTGCGATCGATGCATATTTACACTGGTTCCCCTTATTATACAACCCTGCAGTTGTCTGGCCAGCCAAACAAGCCAGGAAGTGAAATGCAGATTTAATATATTTTCGGGCTATAGGCTGCTGCATCCTACTTTGTGTCTGTTCCGCTCTTCTTGAGAGAGATGTACTTCTCAGATCAGGGCGCTGTCATCATTTTGGCACATGTGTGACCTCTCGCCTTCGAGAATCATTCACTATCAGTTGGCTAACTACACTCGTTCGTAAATTAAGTTGGTGTCAACGGGAAACTTAAACGAATACCATCTCGATCCCTCTCTATTATAATATTTTCCAACTGAATGTACTGAACAAAGGCCGTCTGATGTTTCAGTTTCGGCGATATTCGTGATATTGGGGTACATTGTCCTAACAGAACTTACTATTTAGGATGGGTTGAAACTCTTTGACAGACCATGATCGGTTTCGCTCCTCTTCGGGTTTTGTCAGGTTGGCACAATCCTAGAGTTTCCGCCGGCCTTGTGTTCTGTTTGAGGAGTTTCCAGCAACATTATACATCGATACCTCAAATACCGTACTAATTGGAATATCAGGTAGCGTTTGTGCAGCATATTCAGTTTAAGAACATCACCAACGAGACACTCAACTGGAACTCAGTTGGGCCTCCCTTTAAAACCAAATTAATGAGCAAATGAGTTTATTTCACTAATTGCGTCCTATTTAGGCCAAGTAAAGAATAAGAGCCATGAGACTCCGCCTACTGGATTGGCTCTGCGCCGGACGAAGCTGGTCGTAGGCTGTCGAAGAATTTCCAGCCATCGTCATGTCAACAACAATGTTTATGACTCATTGGTAAACATTAGACTTTGGTTAGTCACAAATGATAGTAATCATATCTTTCCGAATGAGAGCGGCAGTGATACGATCCAAACTAGAGTGTATGGACTTTTTCTCGGTAAGTGATTTTTCTAGAAGAGCAAAGCTATGTGTAATTCCACCGGGCATTAAAAAGCAGTTACATGCAGTGCATCGCAATAAAGCACACTTGAAGCGTTATCCAGGTAATGCCCTTCAAGAATATCCGTTTACTTGCTTTGTGCGAATTAACGAATGATGTGTATGAACTATACAGCTAAGAGTCGACAGTGTAGTCCTCGAAAGCAACTTCTTCAATGTACGTCGAAATCGTGGAAACACGTACATCTTTATCCACCACTCTTGCCTTAGATTCATCAGGTGTAAAACTATCAGCAGTTGAAATCACGCTGGGTGAAAATAATTTTCGGGTGCCTAATTTATTAGTTGGTGAATATGTGAATACCGTGGATGTATAGTAACCTATATAACCGCATCCCCGATTAGTTTAATGGTTATCTACTATCCTATCAGTCATGGGTGTGTTGTCGTCTGAATTTTCCCACTCAACATCGCGGATTACTATATTACCACATATAGTAATTAGTGCACTCACGATATTTCTCCTCTTGTTTGCCTTTGTTTTCCCTCCAGCCCTCGGATCCCACTAGTCACCCAAGTTCCTCGCCGAGCGGCAGCAGCAGCCGAGTTTCTAACCTTCCACATTCAGTTTCCCGGGATGTATGTGACCTGATGGATAGTACGCTAAACTGTTTTCTGAACGATACCGAATTCCGGCGCAAACTGGACGGTTTGGTTGCAGAGTTTGAGCGACTCCGACTGGATCGTAAAGAACTAACGTGCCTCAAGTTCCTGGTCCTGTTCAATCCGGCCAAACACGGTCAGTTTGCTTTGTTTCACGTACTATCCATGCTGTTGCGCAGTTTCTTTTCGACTCCAAGGGATAAAAGCGTTCAGATCGCACCTATTAATGCCCAAGTTCATATTCCCAGCGTCACTCACAAGCCAAAAAACTCAAACTTTCCCTCATTCCTTATCTGGCATTACATTTCCATTTTCCAGTAGACCTACGAACCGCATATTATTTTTCCTAACTTTATTTTACAACATCATCTCATAACCTCAAGCCCGGTGCAATTAATATCGATCCCGTATCTCAGCAAGTGCAGGTAGCTAATGAGTTCGTGGCCTTAAAACAGTGCTGCACGACCTATGCAACACTATTCTAGGCCAGTCCTGAAAATACAGTCACTAGTTCTGCGCACTCTTATGGCGTACTCGTGTGTTCCAGGTTCATACACGTAACAACCTCGGATGCTCAAACATTCAGTTACAGCCGACCGTAGCGAAGGCGTGCACTTTGCACCCAAATAGCACATGTACCTCACTATCCCTCCCCCATTAGTGTTTTAACAAGTCGTTTCTTCACTTATTGCACATCCTTTGCTCGCAGGCAGCTGGTTCCATACACACACCAACTTCGCTGCGACTCAAGAGCACGTAACGAAGCCAACCTACTGTACGGATCATGCACAAATGCGCACGTGCGCGTCTGAGTGTGCAGTGCACATTGACCCTAAATAACCCCAGTTAATTCAGCTAAATGCACAGCTGTCTGATTTGATCAAAGTTACGTAAGGGCAATCTGCTGAAACTGCTAGTTTCTAGGGTTTGGAGCTTGCATGGTGAAGTTTCTGCTGGCCATTCGACTGTCCGTTAACTTTTCACTTTAGTACAGCTGATTCATTCCGTGAAGTTTCTGCCGGCCATTCGACTGTCCGTTAACTTTTCACTTTAGTACAGCTGATTCATTCCGGAGGATAAGTGAACTACGTGCATGTTGCAGCAGTGTTAAACAACTTTCTCTGTCGACCTTGATTCCTTATCTTTCCTACTGCTCGTATGTGTAACTGCTGACAATTAATATTATTTGTGATTGGATTGAATCGGAGCATTACTTTACATCAGCCCTGTCCGACTGCGATGCTCTTTAAAGTTATCTGGGGATTCTCATGAATTACTTGACGGCCACAGCTAGAAAAGGCTTCTTGGACATTCATATAAACCATCTCCATACATTATGGTGAAACTTCATGTCCCTGCAACCTTCCTTTCGGTTATAGTTAGATCCATATATGCATAAAACTAAGGTTCACAAGGCTCCAAGGATGGCTCCTTGTATGCCTAACATGGTCAGATTTGTCCTGTGATGAAACTGTCTTTGGAGCGTGTTGATCGTTACTCTTCGTATCTGACCGTTTTTCTCATGTAGTAACGTTACCGAATCCTAGTCTTGTTCAGTACGTATTTACGTATTGCCGTGGTTTAGTGTTGACAGTCAGTGATCTTTCAAACCACCCAATAGGATAGCAGAATTCATCACTTGTGAACTGTTGTTGAGCTTTGAACAGGTCGCTTTAAAGCTGTTTGTCTTCATACTTTGACGTACAAACAACCTACCTTTACGCGAGCATAGCCTGTTGCATGTTCTTTTCATTATCAGTGCGCCATGAACAGTTATGAATATTGGGTCTGACTGGACGGTAGTTAGGTTGCCAGTTTTACCGGATTTGAACTTGTTCTAGTCGCTGCCGCAATTTCTGTTCGACTGACGAAACTTCCAATGAAGGAAGGCAGAGTGGGTCCGCTTAGAGAGGGTTTCTGTTCATATAGGATCACCTTGCTGAATTTATGACGATGACAACATCAACTGCATCAACAATGCCCTTGAACCGCACCATTCGCATTATTTTTCTTTGTCCAAAACGTTTCTCAAAGCCAATGTGTGGCTTTTCGAAAAGGCCTACCAGCTCTTGAGTTCACCCCTCTCGTTTACTTGCATCCTGGACTGGGCGTCGCCTCCTTTTTACATGAGTCCCATGACATCAATGCACGGACATGACATCAACGCGACTGAGTAATATTTTTATTCTATGTTAGACTAGCATAACAGGACCCTATTTTATCTTCGGTCCTATCCTTTTCCTACTTGATCGCCTATAAATCTCATGTCAGAAGCAAAGAGCAATTTTTTTAGTAATGTGACCACAGGACAGCGCTGACGCGTAGTTTGTGTTATTCCGACAGGTTTAATCGATTCGTATGCACACATGTATTTGAACAATGTTCGGCAAACTGTTTGTCCCGAACTTGCCAAACACCTGGTGTTGCTGGATCGATCAATCTTGTACGCCGTTTCTCCCGGTTTTCGGACAGTCACCTTTCTTCCTCGCCTCCATCTACCCTCTTATACCACTAAATTGGTCGCTGTCCGTAGCATTAGAAATGGTTCTGAAGATCACTTTTCGGCTGTTGTGCTAGATCATTGTTGCCCACTACTGATACCTTGACTGTCGTATGCTTTTACTTCAGACTTGGTGCTCGAATCCAGTCATCAGCATGTTCTGCGTGTGCAAGGAAAACTATCTCGGTTCCTACTACGCCGGTCGCGTCGTTCTACCCGTCCTTCGGCATTCCAGTCTTCTCTAGACACTGCCGAACTCAGTTCTACCGCACAATGGCCCCCTTCTGGCGCGCCTCAGTGTGAGGTTGAACCGAAAGCCTGGGACAACTCAACCACAAGTCGTTTTTCCAGAGTTTTATTGCAATTGTCGGAGGTGAAGTTTCTGGCGTTCCAAATTGAGAGTTACCTGCTTACGCGATATCGGAACGGAAAGATTCCTCAAGAGAGTTTGTTGATCGAAATGCTTCTCAACAAACGGTGCCGTCCGCAAGTCACAGCACATAGCTCAAGTACGACGAGCTACGGTCAAATGTCTGAGCTTTCCATGAACGTCATATCAGTGTCGGGACATTCGAACAATGCGTATCATCCCGGGTCAATCACGTCGTTGAACTGTCCGACTGACTTGAAGCCAATCCCCACTTCCGCAACCACATCTTTCAGCCAATTTGACGAATCAATCAACCCCACTTCTGTGCTTTCTTGATTGCCTCTTCGTCTCAAGTCACCACGTGTGTGTTGCCTCAAATTATATCATTTTTTCTACTTCAACTATGCTCATGAGGGTTGTTCGTGTCGAATTCAGGGATTCTCAGCAACCGCCTCTGATTTGCCCCACTTTTCACAAGTGGCAAATCCTTTTCCTTTTGTTATATTGAACTCAACCAGGCAACTGATTTTCTATCGATCCACTTTGAATATTATCTTCCCTTAGATAGAGGCTAACTTGTTGCCTCCGTTTGGTCTATCCAGGATGCTTACTGTTTCAACGTGTGTCTTGCCAAGAACTACCTTTTTCGATCCAATAATCTTGACACCAGTTCTTCATTGCCGAGATTCGCTATTTATCTCGGGCATTTATTCAACTGACTTTCCCTGTCCTCTTGGTGATGCTCTATCTTTTGGCTGTGATTCGCCAATCGGTTGCTGGCTACTGAACTGTTGCCGGTGCGCGCTTCGAGTATCTGCGTCGCAATATCTGTTTCACCTTTCTTGGCCTGCTACCTCATCTCCTTCTAATCAGTGCGGATTGGTTTTAGCAACAAGGATGATACCTTGGCTCTTTCTATCGGTTCTTCCTCATTCATGTCTGACTCACATACCGCACCAACCCACCATCCTCGACTAACACTCCTCAGGCCACATTGTGTACACACATTACGAAGCCTATATTACTCACTGCTTGCGTTACATTTTCAGGCAAGTTGTCCATGTACCTTAAATTCCAATTTCCTGACTCAGGTCTATGTATTTCCGCGTTTCCTCACCCACCTGTCGACCCCAAACCTCCTTTGTTCCATCTACTCGGAATGCCTCTCATTGCCATACAAAAATGAGGGACTGACATTCCAAGCATTTAGTCGATTTTTAAAGTATTGTTTTGCTCAAACTTTCCCGTTTCATCTGCTCCCCGTCCGTCTGCTTTGGAACATTCTGGACACCTTTTGCTCACAAGCCTATACACCCACTCCATACATTTTTGCACGTACAGCTGCCGTGTACAGAGTTTGTTTTTTCTCTTTCCTGCCTCTCACACAACGCCACGATTCGCCCATTTTTTATAAACTTAAACTGTGAGGCTGTTCGTAACATTCGTATCCACAGGGATTCGGTCTTATCCAAGATCGCACACGAGCTCACAAGCAAGATTGTTTGAAATGCTCCAAAGTACCTCTCCGTCCCACAATCATCAATAGGATACACATGAGTTGTTTCAAGGTCACTTATAGGTTCTCTGGCCCTCTTTCCTGTATACTGCCATTGTCACTCCTTATTCTTTATCATCCATCTACTAAGAGACCGGAATTTGTGTTCACTGAGCACCCAAATGAACTCTACCTCAAATCTGTCATCCATCACAATCGTTATCTACTCTCTCATCCTTCCAGGTTCATCCGATTTTCCTTATCACATTTCTACCCCACAATTCTCGCTCCCATACCCCTTCTCCACCGTTTGCCTGATTGACAACGACCAAAAGTACAATCGACTCTTTAGACGACAATCGACATTAGGGTCTGTTTAACCCTTTGCTCGCCTCTTAAGTTGTTTTTGTACTTTCAGGAAGCTTTTCTCCTTGGTTTATTCCCTCCGGTAGGATCACCCAGGCCGGGATTGTTCCCTTTTTTCCTATTTAGCCTGCAAAACACCATTATTACACTATATGAGTGAACGCGTATGAATGTAGTACGACAAGCACCACTGTTTGCCTTGTGCCGCTGTATTTGTCCGAAATACAAGCTCATTATGAAGTTTATTATTAAATTTGACCGTTGCTGGTTCGTTCGTTCGTATCGTTTAGTTAGCTATTTCCTTGACCGTTTGATGAGGGAATTTAGCCTATGATCGTTTTTGGGTTTGAATATCTCATCTTCCTCTCACGTCGCTGGTACTTTTCGGAATGTACAGTGTAGTTAACTTCCGCCGTGCGTTCCACTCAGGTACTGAAGTTTCACTGAACCTTTTTAACGCAATCGTGGGCGTTTGTCCGCTGAGCTAGGCCTCTTCACTTCAAACTATTCATTTATCGTGCTATGCGGCAAAACAACTATCTATTCTGCGAACGGTCTCCACAATGAGTCTGGGTGGTACTTTTGTGAATGCTGCACAACACCCCTTCAATGAACTCCGTGTGCAGTGATTACTCTTCCAACTTTTATGAAAACAGGCACCTCGAGATCGGTAATATTAGCTAGATCCCCGTTGTTTTATAATGGGATTCTTAAAAGGCAAATATCACGGCCTGGAGTCCCATCCTGTACAATCGATGAAAACATGGACAGCGTGTGTCTGTCGTCACTTGAACTATGACTATACCGTAGTTGTTGGTCTTACCTCGGTGCATCGCACTCACGCGGTTACCCCATTACTGATGATAAGAAGGGCGCCGAGATCAGACTGATAGGTGCGCGGTTTGATGTGGTACGGTTCACCACCCCACATAGATAATCTACCTTTGGTTGTAAGGGTTGTAGCTCACTGTTCGACTACATCACATTTTGAACCCAGCTATTGAGGTTCACACCCAACCTCTTAGCTGTCACTGAACATTCCGAACAGACCCGAAAAGTTTTTTTGCCATTACACAAAAGTAGGCAGCTAGTGGAGCTAAAGAAGAGGAGGAAGCTCAAATTCCTTCCAACACTTGACTTTGGAAAGGCACCTCTTAGGATCGTGATGCAGAGGGGCATATATACTTCGAAGCATTGAGTGGGCCTACTTCACTTTACAAACGGACGATTAGTTTTTTCGCCTGTTTGGAGATAATCTCTCCAAGTGGCGATCATGCAGTACATTCAATCGTCTTGCCTTTGGTCTGTATTTGACCAGACAGGAGGTGGTTTGTGTCCCCTTAAGAGCTGCAGAATAATATTGCCCTACTAGATCAATTGCGCTTATCGTTTTTGGGTTGTCGTCCCCAAATACTTGATCAGGTTGTGCCGAAGGCTTTCCAACCCTTAAGAGCTTTCGTATTTATTGACTCATTAGCCGACTGGACATTGCTTCCTATCGTCACGGCGATGTATGGAGAGCCTCTACAAATCTGTGTCTAACCTTTGTTTTTTGGTATCAGTTTTTCTCGCGGGTGAACATATTGAACTGGACGTACGTAGGAGACACGTTTGTTACTTCAAACCATAACAAGCAGAGGCAACAGCCATGTGTTATTCCTGATTCACTGGAATGTAGGCGATGGAGTGTCCATATTTGTGACCGTATGAGTAAAATTTGTTCCCGGTTTTACGTAGCGAGCCATTTTAGGGATGAGTTTTCCATTTTTCAGCTGACTGTAACACATGATAGAACGGAAACTATACTGTACGTCACTTAACTGACATCATGTATACTTTATCAAAGGGCCGCACTCTGTCTGTATCTACCGCCATCGCAAGTGGTGCTAAACTAACCAACTTAGCATGAACTTGTCTAAAACGGGAGTCAGGAGGTGGAAACTGTCCTCGAGAGGTGATTGTGTATCTTCCCACCTTATTGACCCATTTTAACCTTTCGCTCGTAAAAGGATCTGTTTGCGCATACTTGGCCACAAAATCTCTCTTTGATAGAAAATAGAAATGACCAAAAATGTGTCTACCAAATGCAAGGACAGTCTTGTGACTTCTGCATTACCAGTTGCAAGCGAGAGATCGCGTAGTAGGAGTTAAGTGCTATGCTATAAACAAGTAAGTCTATCGAATCACATTTAGATCAGAAAAGAAATGGAGTAGAATGTTCAACATTTTTAGTGGGCCACCATAAATCGAATGTTTCTTGTACAGTAACGGATGAAAGCTGCTGTATTTCGCGACGGGCGTGGTTATTGTAGTTGCAGTTGAGGGCAAAAACAAGAGGCTCATGGCTGAAAGGGTTTTTTCCTCGTAACTTTCTGCAGAATAGGCCAATGGCTCTTTGTTACCCACGTATCCGTTTGAAGACCTCCCGGTGGTTCACTGAAAGACATCAGCCCGAAGGGTTAGCTGGGCATCTCGGCCAGGATTGAAGTGTGCCAGCCCACACATCGGTCAGACAGCCTTCGCAGCACAAAATGCATTGATGGCAGGTGAGGACAAGGACAAACGCTTGGGATTTTATTTACAGTAGATCAGTTCGATGCTGCAAAAAGGCTGATTAACTAGAGGTATTACGACAACATCCAGAAACTAAAGTAATCTTCTGGCCAGTTGAGGAATGTGATAGCCTTTAGTCGCGGCACCTCAGGTAGGGGCCAAGAAGGTTTAACGTGGTCACGGCAAAAACACTTAGATACAGTTATAGTGTGCCCATACGGTTAGGCTAACCGTAAGTGCGTTAGGCCTTCAGATGTATCCTGATTAGTAATCAGAATGTCATTGTTGTGGTAAAACAGAGGCCTGTTTTTGTGTAAGGTCTTATCCCGTTATTTGAAGGTTACCATGATTGGCTAATTTCTGACAGTACTGCCATTTGGTAGTTATGGCGATGGCTATTCGTACATGCACTTGTGCGCCCTCTGCTTATAGCCTATTGGTCAGCGTCTTTAAAAGGGCCATGCCTGGTGTTGCACTGTTTCGTTTACACCAGTTTTCATTCGAAGCCTTTATCTGGTTAGGTAGTGAGCATATGCGAACATGGAAACTGTATTCATTTATCTTCCAAACAAACATTCAGGCGGACCCAGGTGTCTAGGCCCTTTGAATCGATCCACTGCCCACCTATTTCGCTTCCGAGTTGTCTGTCCCAAGTACTCATTCACTGAAGCGTTCATAGCCACCGACATAGTCTCTATGACATACATTTAGCTAGTACACTCGTAAATGTTGGCCGGTTTCAGCAGCAAGTAGAGTACTCATACAAAGGACCGGCTTTCACGCTTGGCTGTGTGAGTGGCTGCAGTCTATTACGTATGCTACGATGTGCCCTTGACACTAGAAATTAGTAATCGTCAATCTGATTATGAATTTTCGCCTATCCAAATGATGATCTCAATGAACTTTGTTTCCGCTGAAATTCATAAACTTTGATCAAGATCATTTCCTCGCTTTATGAATACTTATGCAGAACTTCCCCACCCTCGTGGGGAAGAGTATCTCAGTAATGGCTAGAAATAAAGGGAAAGTTGGAAACTTTTATGAACAGCCTTTTTCCCTAGAGAAAATGACCAAGAAAAGGAAGCCTATAGAGTGTAACCGCAGGGAAATAAACATATATGTACATCCTATCTAAGCAATACACCATCAGAGGGATGGACCCAAAATCCTTCGTGAATATCACCCTGCATAAACTCAGCGTACCAGCACAGTTAGTCCGACAAGGTAATAACAGCTTTCTCGCTATTGCATGCTCGGCCACGTGTCGTACGCTATAGGGTTGCTACCCTTGCGTAAGGAAAATCACGTGGACTCCAACCAGAAAGACGTGAAGGTCCCATAATGCAATGTGACAGTAGTCCCCTCCCGTTTACGTGTCAGTCCGTTCCCTGAGGGCTTTTCACCAACAAGAGCTCAGAACAGAAAACAATGCATTTTCGGGATGCTTGTTGGACACTGGTAGTACACGTCCAAGCCACCTTAACCTGATTTGGTTTATTTTATGCTCTGGTGATTCTGTCTCATTACCAAGTAGTTTCTTACACTTTATTGCTTTGTAAACACGCTGCAGCCTATTGCACCGCTAAGACATTGGTGACTGAGTGTTTGACGCCTTGTGATGTCCTCGGATCGCAGGAGCTAAGTTTCACAACCATGGAGTAAGACGGAGTACACACGACCTCTCAGCTTCAGTGAAATTCGTTTCGGATGTCGAAAGTGTTGCACGCGCCTTATAATGCGCGCATTGACCTCTTTTCTCATATCATGGTCATGGATTATAACACTGTCCAACTAAGTAGACCGGTCAACAAACTCAAATCGCTCTGATATTGAAGAGAAGGTTGGCAGCTTAGGTTGTTCAGTTGCTTGTCAAGATGTCCGCTAAGCTTGGCAATTTTGTTGCACGTGCGGCTCAGTGCAACCTGTGTGTGGCGTTGCCCACTGTGCGCAAGGGTCTATCGGTGTCGTTCAATGTGAGAGGTCAATCCACAAACCCATGCCCGTCCATGTCGTGTTGGTAGGCTGAGCGGACTTAGATTGAACAATGTCAATCCATTCGCACAAATCAGAGGTGCATTTGGTAAATATTCAGTGTACGATATTTGGCGGCAACTATAGACGAGCACAACACAAATTGAGTCGTAGGTCTATGCAACGCCATGGTTATCTTCTTATCAGGAATAAACATGATTGCTGCCTATTACTTGCATGGTTTTCCATAGATCGCAAAATCTCGCTTCGTTGCTGGGTGGTGAGAAAACTGTTTCGTCGAGGTAGGCAAATTTCTTGGGAATTGTTACTATTCTTGAAAACTTCGGAAGTTGTAGTCTTTTGCTCCTAATACGATAGTTGTGACCCGTTTTCTGAAGGACTCCATACTATGTTACGTTGAGTACTAAGTAAGCTTCAATAGACAGCCACTTTTTTTCCTAAGATGTCCAGCCACTCTTAATCATTTCTGTCTTTCATCGAAATGATCACCGGAATTGTCGTATTGATTTTCGCAGTACAGGTCACAGTTCATCAGTTTTTCTTTTTACACACCGACGGCCATTACACCGGAAGATAGGTGAAATGTTGTGGGAAATATTATCGTAAACGCCCATTCCAAACAAAAAGTGCTGACCTTAATTCATGGTGTCCAAGTTTGAACCCCGTTACTCACAGGGAA